CTGATAATATGCAGCTTCCCGCTGATAACAGCCGCCAAACCAGTCTGACAGGAAACCCTCACCTGGTGCTTTCAGGCGTTTTAGAGTTAAAGTTCAGCTTGCTGTGAGGTTCGCAGGAGGTCCGCTTAGAATCGGACTGAAAACAGCTGAAATGTTTCATCCTTTTGAAATAAAAAGCTGATAATCCCCCTCTGTGAACAGATTGTTGAAGAAAATCTCTGCACAACCGAGGATTAACAGATTTTCTGATAAATCTCTGCAGTTTTACATCTTTATAACACAACGAGAGGCAGTGGAACAATGGACTGAAGCAGACGTCCGAAAGGGGAAGCTGCAGCTTAGGCGCGGAAGGATTTAATCCCACAATCGACGGTCAGATGAGGAGCTCACCTCTTTAGTCAGGTAGTACTGCAGCTCTGAGACGAACAGGATCAGCATGATGATGCCACTGATGATGGTCACTGAGGAGAGACATGGAGCCATAACCGACGTTAAAGGAAAATCTAAACAGAAGTTTCTGTTAAATTCAGTTTGATCTAGGAAAATAAAAAAAACTTTATTTTCCGTTTGTTCCCATTTTGAAACCCTCGCCTCATTAACGAGAATAAAATCCATTAAATCCATTCATCCAATTTTTTTAGAAAAACTCACTGAAAATCAGAGATCTAGAAACTGCTTAGAATCAGGACAGAAACGCTGACATTTAGTCGGACCTTCCCACAAAGAATCAAGAATCATCTTTGACTTTTATCCGTTTTAAATTCCTAATTTAACATTTTGAACATCTATCCCTCTTTATTTTAAGAACGTCTGCATTCATGAAAGCTTTGATAGGAATAAACTTCCATTTAAACCTTGAAGGGCCAAAAGCCACAGAATTGATTGATCGTTTGACTTTACTGACCTCAAATTGGAGAAATTTACCCGTTAAATCAGCTAAAATAGTCAAAGAAGAAGAATGTGCTAAAGGAAGTTTAAAAAAACAATTGTAGGATGAAACAAGGGTTATTTCACAGGGTGTTTACATGCGTATTTATATAGATGGATATTTATATATACAGTTATTGCACTGGGTGTCAGCTATAGAGAAACAGGTTATTGCGCAGGGTATTAAATAGTAACAAGTTATCAGTGCTGTAGTGTTGCGTTGTAGAGTCTGTTTGCAGCAGGGATGAATCAATCAAATCACTGTTAACTCAGGGAAATTTGATATCTTTACTAGTTTAATTAACTTGTAATTAATACATTATTTGCAGTTTAAAATATTTAAAAGGAGAGGAGAACAGTTAAAATAAGTTAAAATGATATAAAATATAATTGTTGTGAAATCTGCATTTAAAAAAACAAACATAAAACACCAAATTATAAAAAAAAAAAAAACCTTTCCAGTATTTTCTCCTTTTTCAGGGACCCAGAAACTAAAGCTCGGGCTGCCACTGATATTAATACGGGGAATCGATCATTATGATCATTTATCCGCCTGCCTCTGAAATATCCAATATTATAAAGCTCATAGAAACACTTTGCTTCTCTCTGCTTTTGTTTAAAGTCTTAATTCAATTCAGTATATTTATATAGCGCCAATTCACAACACAAGTCATCTCAAGGCACTTTACAGTTCACCAGATCATTGTTGAATGGGAAATGGGTCAGTAGTTCACATATTGTTGTTAACTGTTGTTCTGTTGGAGAAATGTCACTTAATCAAACCTTTTCCATCATTCCAAATGATAAATAACCAATAAAAGTATAGATGGGTGAAGCTAATACAGTATCTGGTCATAATCGGTATCGCTCAACATCTGAATCTGCATTATTAAAGGTTTTATACAGGAATGAGTAACCCCAATTTAATGCTTTTTAATGCTCTTTTAATGCACTCATACATTTTTTTAATGCCATCAACAAGTACCCATGACTCTCATTCATTCATATATTATAACATGAAGAAATCCTCATCTTTACCGTCGACAGGCTGCAGCCGTGTCTCGAATTCCTCGTTTTTCAGCCACTTTTGTTGAAATTTGCATTTTCCTATTCTCTAGCTTTTTCTCCGCCTCGAGCGTAAAGTCGTATCCTAAGATACGACTTTACGATCGACGGGAAGCAGTTCCACGCAAAAATAGCGCGATATATCTGATGAAATTGTATTTATAATCTTTTTTTTTTTTAAATAAAGCATTTACAATAATCACATTTAATTAATTTAAATGCCAATTACTGCCTTAATTTAAAAATAACAATTTAATGACTTTAAATGATTTTTAATGACCCGTGGAAACCCTGTATTAGTATCATAAATGAAAAAGTTTTTTAAGGACTACTCATAACCAAAGTCACCATAAATATGTAACAAACAGTGAGTGGATGATCACAGGTTAACGGTTTATTGCACTGTTATAACAGGGTTTATATGAGTAACTCTAATTTAATGCTTTTTAATGCTCTTAAAAATCATTTTAATGCCATCAACAAGTACCTGTCGACAGGCTGCAGCCATGTCACACATTCCTCATTTTCCAGCCACTTTTGTTGAAATTCTTTCTAATTTTCTCGTTGAGACATTTTCTCATTCTCTAGCTTTTTTCTCCGCCTCGAGCTTCTTTTTCGGAACAAACGGCTTTACGATCAACGGTAAAAAGTACCACGCAAATATATCGCAATATATCTGAGGAAATAGTTTTTATCAACTTTTTATATTTTTAAATAAAGCATTTTAAATGCCACAATAATCATATTTAATTAATTTTAATGCTATTTAAGGCCTTAATTTAAAAAAATACTAATTTAATGACCCATAGAAACGCGGTATAAACTCTTCTACCTGGACTGGAAACACTAATGGGGTTTTCATTGTTGGGATAAGAAACTTTATCTGAATCTGCTGGTGAAGATTCTCAGTCATTCAGGTCGTCGTCATTCCCAAAGAAAAAGTTAAAATCAATCCACTGGATTTGTTTCCAAGTTTGAAGACGTTTCGCTTCCCATCCAGGAAGCTTTCAATTCAAAATGTCAGAAATAGGGCCGAGTTTGAGGCTTTTATACGGTAGCCCAACACATACCCTGAGTGACGGCGTGGGCGGCGAGATCCTCAGAGGAATATTAGAGATTGAACCAAGGCTGGAATCCCCAAACGTGCATCAATAGTTTATTAAATGCAAAGTTAAATCATTAGATGTCAAACCCTTTAAAATATGTACTCAGTGTCAGACAGCCAAGGACCCACACTAAGTTTGATCATTTTTAATCACTTCCTCCTTTAAAAGCTGTTGATCTTTCTGATGTTTGTTTTCTATGAAGCAATGAAAATTTGGGCTGATATCTGGTAGTAATATATTGATTTAATGGCTGATTAATGATAGATAGATGAAGGTTTTAACGTTAAAAGTGACCAGTGAGCGTTTCCAGATCCTGTGCTGCATCATTTTCACGCGGATACACAAATGGTGCTTTCATTTTAAGCCTTTTTTTCTTTTAAAAACAAAAATATAAAACCTCATACAGGACGCAAAAGTAACAAAAATATAGTTTCACAACATTTAAAATACTAAATGAGAAAATAAAAATATAGAAACAATATTAAGAACTTTAACATTTTTGGCAAATTCTATTAAATATTGTTGAATAAATAATTGTTTTAAGAAATACCTGGAAGAAAGGATTAAATTAGAAACTTCTCAATAATTAGGAGAAAATTATCTTTTTCATTTTCGTGCTCCGTTTATCTTTAGTTCATGTAGATTATAAAGATCACATTAGTTTGTTTATTCTGATAAACATCTTATCCCACAGCATGTGTTTATAGATTAAGACTTTAAAGGAGAGTTTTAAAGCAAAAACAGGTTTTATTTAACCACCACTGTTCCCAACAACCTCAATCAGTTCTTTCATTCATGCTGATTTTGGACAGTTTCTACCTTCAGTCAGTTAAATAACCTGCTGCTGTCATTCTGCACATCTCTGATGTTGCTGCTATTTTCAAATATCCTTTACTGGAAAAATGTCCATAGCTGCATATTGGTTATTTATTCTCCAGGTGAACAGTTTTATATTGTTAAAACACTTTACAGTACAGGATTTTAGTGTTTATATTTTAACTCTTCACTATTAAGTAATTCTTATACATTTTTCTAAGGTCCACATTTGTGTGACCATTTTCTGTATTTTTGTTTTTGCTGTAAACACCACAATTTCCCCCATAGTGGGAAAATAAAGGGATTTTCTATTAAACAATGAAAATAGATTTAAAAAATGTCTTGTTTGTGGTTTAGTCTTACAATTAACTGCATATTTAAAACTGCCGAGTTTAAAAAAGAAAAACTTGCAGATGTGAATAAAAGGTTAAAGATGTTTAATGATGTAAAACCTGATGTTTATATAAAATGAATTCTGACTGTGCTCTAGCTGAAGAATACATTAGAGTTCTATAGAATAAATTATTGAAAATAAATGTTCGTTTTCTGGTCATTAATGAATGAAAAATATTCTTAAGTGATTTAAAAGTGCATCCTGCAGCGTTTGATGTCTGTGAATGAGCGCCGCTGTCAGCAGCCCTGTTAGCAGCGGCAGCTAGCTCCCGGAGTGTCTGATCGGTTAAAGGCTCCTACCGGCCGCTCCTCCCCACGTCTTCACTCGGAAATCCTCCAGAGTTTTAGGAAAAGCGTCAAACTGCTTCAGTTTATTTAATGTGTCCATTTTCTCCGGCAGGAAATCCACCCGAACGCCACAGAACCTTATCGGAGCGCCCCTGCTCCCCAGAAACACATCGGTCCCTTTACTTCCGCAGCACGTGACGCGCGGTTCAGCCAATCAGCAGCAGACGCGTCAATTTCTATTTTTTTTTAACCTTTTCTTTTCACTAAGCTTTATTGAAA